GGCGGGGGCGGCGGAGGGGGGGCCCCGCGCCACTGCTCCTGCGGGCTCGAGCCGGACTTGTTGTCTCCGCGCCGGAAGGGCCATATGCGTGCTTGTATGCTCCTCGTTCCAGCCCTGTGCATTGTAGATGAGTGATGATGGCCGGGGCGCAGCATGGTTGAGCTGCGAGTACGAACACGTAGTCTGCCAGATCGGATGTGCCCGAAGATCAGCTGATCGCCCTTGATTCAATGCTAGAATTTGCATAAGGAGTCCATGCTACAGTGTATATATCTGCGTGGCTCCTCATGGGCCGCCTTTTTGCCAAAGTCACACCGGTGACTCCAGCACCTGAAGAAGACCAACTAGGGAGGCCCTCATAACATGTGACAAGTGTAGGTACATGAGATCGAATTGCTCAGATAGTACCTACTGACTTACGCAACTTCTCAAGATCGCTCTCGCCGGCACAAGACGTACTCTCGGCCGCCACACTTTAAGCCTCAGCCGGGACCAATATCATACAGTAGCATCAGCATGGCAAGAGACGCGCCGGATGGCGCTGGCGATGGCCTGGTCACCGCCGCGAACGCCGGGCAGGAGGTGGGTAGCAGCAGCCGCCGCCACCGCCGCCATGTTGCCGCTTTTCGCGTGCCATCGCGCTCCTTGCTGCAACCTCAGCCTCATGCGAGGCCTATCAAAGTATTTGCATGCAGCCGCGCAGCGGCACGCGGCGACCCTCTACGCTTGCGGGGCCGGCCTCCCCGCCGCACCTGAGTGTGTTGTGTGTTCCGCCCGCGACCGCCCGCCCCCCTCATGCCCCCTCGTGCCCGGCCTGACTGCCACAGGTGCTGCAGCATTTCTGGGACTTGGCATCCCTTGATCCAGTGAGTTGGGGCAGCTTTACAGTTGTCACACCCAATGCCCGTGCAAAGGCAGCGGCCCGCAGCAGGGCGCCATCATTGCGGCTGCAATGATTTTGGACTCAAAACCAACCGTCGCGGGCCGCCCCGGCCGCCGCGACGGCCGCCGCCCCGCGCCCCTCGCACCTCCAGGCGCCCCCCTGTCGGCTGCCCTCACCCCGCCCACCCCGCCTTTTCTCACACCCGTCGCCGTCCTGCCTGCAAGGCCGTGCGTGCAAAGGCGGTCCAGGCGCTCACTGACGAGCTGCTGGCGGACCAGGCGCGCCACGACGCAGCTGCCGGGCAGCTGCTACAGGACGACCAGCAGCAGCAGCAGAAGGCCGCGCCCGCCAAGCCCGCGGCCGGCCCCGCCGCGCTCGCCGCCGCGCTGCGGCGCTGCTCGCCGGCGGTAAGCTATGCGCTGAAGCGTCTGGCCCGCGGCCTCGCGTCAGGGCGCGACGGCGCGCGCCAGGGCTACGCGGCCGCGCTCACCATCCTCTTGACAGCAGCTGCCGGCAGCGGCGGCGGCGGCGGGGGTGCCGCGCCGCAGGGGAAGGGCAAGGGGTCAAAGGCGGGCGGCGGCGGGGGCGGTGGGTGGCTGGACTTGGATGGGGTGCTTCTACTGCTGGAGGTCAGCCTGCCTGTGACCGGCTCGATGAAGGGATCGGTGAGCTTCCGCCGGCCGGGCTTCTCATGCTGTCGTGCTTGAAGCCTGCCCAAGCACAGGCGCGGCCGCCTCAGGCCGGGGGCCGCTGGCCTGCGCTTGTGTGGGCAAGCGCGGGCGCCGCCGCCGAGCCCTTGCGCCCCGCCTGCGCCCGTAAGGCACCAGGATCGACCCCCTCTTTGGAGACCAAACCATGCTTGCCCGCGGGCTTGCGCGCGCTGCCGCCTCGCCGCGACGGCACTCGGCTTGAGAGAGCGGCGTGAGTCGCGCGACCCCCGCTGCACCCGCCCCCTCTCTGCGCGCAACGCTGTCGCCCCCGAGCGGCCACACACAATCATAATTGCCCAGCTGGATCCACTTTCATAACCCTGACACCTCATCATATCGATATCTATCATATCAATATCTATCATATTAATGGCGACAGGACCAACGGGACGCGCTCCTCGGCCGCATCTTTGGCCTCGCCGCCGTCGCCCGCTCGGGCATCGCCTCCTCGTCTTCCGCCGCCGCCGCGCGGGCTGCCGAGCAGCTCTGTGCCCTCTCTGCCAAGAAGGTGTTTCTCAGAGAAAGCGCCGCGGCGGCGCTGCTCGAGTTGCTAGAGGGCCTGCCGCCCGGCGTGACGCCCGGTGACGTCATCGAGGCGAGCCCGGCGCTGCGCGCGCTGCTGCTGGCGCCGCCGGCGGCCGCGAGCCCCGAGGCGCTGCTGCTCGCGC